TGAGTGTCCAAGAAACATTTAAAAACACAATGTTTCGCAACACCGGTTTTCTAAGAAAGCTTACGCGCGCGCTCTTGCGAAATCTTGTGGAAACCAGTGGTTTGGCAAAATGGAAACACATGCTACCAAATGGGCTTTGCGCGCGCGTGCCGAACTCGTTCGAACGCCCTTGCGCGCGTGCCGTCGCAAGAACCCTCCGCAACAAAAAAACGGGACGGAGTGCACGCGCGCCCGTCATCGCGCGCGCGTGCCGAATTCCTTCAAAAACCATCGGTTTCGGAAAGATTTCAAAATCGAGTGCCCAGAAAACATACAAAAACACAGGGATTCGCAGCACGTGTTTTCAACAAAGCGCTCTTGCGTCGTCGTCGTCGTCGTCGCCGTCCCTCCTCCCTCGCCGTCGTCGTCGTCGTCGTCGTCGTCGCCGTCGTCGTCCTCTGTCTTTCCTCGTCGCCGTCGTCGACGTCGTCCTCCTTGGCGGCGTCGTCGTTTCCGTCGTTGTTGTCGCCGTGGTCGTCCTTCCTCCTCTCTCGTCGTCGTCGTCGTCGTCGTCGTCGTCGTCGTCGTCCGTCGTCGTCGTCCCTCCTATTTCGTCCTCGTCGTCGTCGTCGTCGTCGTCGTCGTCGTAGTCGTCGTCGTCTTCCTTCCTCCCTCGTCGTTGTCGTCGTCGGCGTCGCCGTCCTCCCTCCTTATTCGTCGTTCGCGTCGTCGCCGTCCTCCCTCCTCCGTCGTCGTTGTCTTCGTTGTCGCCCTCGTCGTCCTCCTTCCTCCTTCGTCGTCATCGTTTTCGTTGGCGACGTCGTCGTCGTCGTCGTCTTCGTCGTTGTCGTCGTCGGGCTCGTCGTCGTCGTCGGCGTCGTCATCGTTGTCGTCGTTGTCGGCGTCGTCGTCGTCGTCGTCGTCGTCGTCAGCGTCGTCATCGTTGTCGTCGTCGTCGGCGTAGGCGTTTTTGTCGTCGTCGTCGGTGTCGTCGTCGTCGTCGTCGTCGAAGTCGTCGGTGTCGTCGTAGTTGTCGTCGTAGTTGTCGTCGGCGTCGTCGTCGTCGTCGTTGTCGCTGTCGTCGTCGGCGTCGGTGTCGTTGCCACATGCAATTTGGTACTTGCCGTCACGGTCTTAAGAGGTCTTGCGACCAAGTTGCGGCTGGGAGGGTGGGATGTTTGCACGAGCAGTGGAGAGGACAGCTTCAAGACATTCAAGGTGAATTGCACGCGTAGGTTGCACCACAGATATTCACCTTTCCAACTGAGAGTTCGGATCCACCACCTTCCCCATGCCAGACTTATCGGTACCCCCTGGGGGTGTGCAGTTGAAATGAGATCCTGCCCCGTCGCCCATTCCAAAATACGAATTCGTACCATCCCAGCAAGACCGGGTTCGACCCCCGCCTCCGCTTCGTCGAATAGTATTGTGCTCGCGCGCCCGCTCATCAAAAGTCATCAGCTTGCAAGAACCCTTTGCGCAAAGTGGAGCGACGTGCACACGCGCGCGTCGTCGAGCGCGCATGCAGGAATTTGTTTGTGAACCACCTCAGGGGTCATGAGGATTCCGAGGTCAAGTGCCCAGAAATCACATGAAAACTATGCTGGCGCAACATGTTTTTGTGACAAGAAACCAGCACGCGCGCTCTTGCGAATTTGGAAGAAATCCTTGCGATATTCAACATCCTCATCCAATGCGACTGAACGGGCCTCTCGCGCACGCATGTCGAAATCATTCGAACGCCCTTGCACGCGTGCGGGGGGGTGGGGGGCACGATCCCTGTCAAATAATACCATGCGGGCCACTCGCGCGCGTCGGCCGCGCGCGCATGTCGAAATCCTTCCAAAGCCTTCATCACTCGGGACGGGCATGCGTCCACTGATCGGCCCCCTTCTTCGGGACGCTTCTTGGGCAGGTCTTGTGGCTCACTTGGGCTCGTTGGGGTGTGCAGCTTCGGCTTCTTTGCCCACCTGTGCGCGAACACTTTTGCGCCCCCCGCGTGGCAGCGCTTCCCGAGGTCTGCGAACCTGCCAGACCCTTGAGCTTCACGTGTCTGCTCGCTTCCGCGGGCGCCGCGCGGTGCGGAGCCCTGCCGTCCAGTGGCGTCCGGCCCGTCTCGCCACCGCGCCTGGCTGGTGGACCAGAGGCCCCTTCGAGGTTTTGCCCCGCCTTCGGGAGGTTTCCAGGAATTTCAGTTGGGGCCTCTTGGGTCTCCATCGGGTTCTCTTGGGGTCCTCCGGGAGGTTCTTGGGGTCTCGGGGGGGGCATCTTCCTGGGAGGTGCTCGAAACACCAGCTCGGGTTTCTTCCATGTGGTATCCTCTTGGGACCGTCCCTTGGTCCTCTTGGGCCCTCTCGGGGGCCTCGGCGGCCGTCTTGGAACGATCTCGGATGCATGCTGGGCCGTATTGGACGCTCTCCGTTCCGAGCAGCTGAGATGCTAATGCAGCATGCGGGCGGTCTTTTCCGACGCTCATTCGGACCTTCAGTGGAGCTCCCTATGGGGACGCGAGGCGCGTGAGAGGAGTGCCGAAATGGGTGGCGGCGACGCATGCGAACTGCGACACCAGGACCCTCGGTGAAGCTCCTTATGGGGACACGAAACGTTGTGAGGGTGTACCGAAATGGGCGGCGGGGACGAAAGCGAATTGCCCCACTGGGACCTGGAGTAGAGCTCCCTATGAGGCCACGAAGCGCGTCAGGGGTGTGCCGAGATGGGTGGCGGGGACTCATGCGAACTGCGCCAATGGGACCTTCGGTGGAGCTCCCTATGGGGCAACGAAGCGGTGTGAGGGTGTGCCGAAATGGGTGGCGGGAAGGCATGCGAATTGCCAAAGTGGGGCCTGCGGTAGAGCTCCCAAAGCACGAAGCGTGTGAGGGGTGTGCCGAGTTGGGTGGCGGAGACGGATGGGAACTGCGCCAATGGGACCTTCGGTGGAGCTCCCTATGTAGCCACGAATAGCCACGAAGCGTTGTCAGGGTGTGCCGAAATTGGTGGCCGGACCACATGCGGGCTGCGCCATTGGGACCTTCGGTGGAGCTCCTTGTGGGGCCACGAAGCGTCGTGAGGGGCATGCCGAATGTGGTGGCGGGACCGCATGCGGGCTGCGCCACTCGGACCTTCGGTGGAGCCCCCTATGGGGCCACGACGCGTTGTAAGGGTGCGCCGAGATGAGTGGCGGGGACGCATGCGGGCTGCGCCATTAGGGCTTTTGGTGAGGTTCCCTGTGGGGCCACGAAACGTGGTGAGGGTGTGCCGAGATTGGTTGCGGGGCGGCGGGGCCACATGCGGGGAGCTTCCTATGGGGCCACGACACATTGAGGGTGTACCGAAATTGGTGGCGGGACCGCATGCGGGCTGCGCAATTGGGATCTTCGGTGGAGTCTCCTTTTGGGCTGCGAAACGTTGTGAGGGGCGTGCCGAAAAGAGTTGCGGGACGCATGCGGGCTGCGCCACTCGATGGAGCTCATGGGGCGCCTTTCGATGGAGCTCATGGGGCCACGAAGCGTGTGAGGGGTTTGTCGAATCTGTTAGCATGCGTAGGGCAGAGGGAAGATGATGGGAGGAGGGAGGAGGGGAGGAGGAGGGGGATGAAGTGACGCGGGGCGCTGCCTCTTCACAACGACGACCCAACACCGCAGGATGGTTGGGAAAAACATCCTTGGTACTAGACCTGCCCCTCTGCTAGACAAGGCCCCTCCCCAAGCTGATTCAAAGCACATCGTTGGTAGTAGACGTGATCCTCCACTGTGCACCACCCGCTGCTAGACGAGGCCCCTCCCCAAGCTGATTCAAAAACATCGCTGGTAGTACCGAGGATGCCTTCTTAATCAGCCATGGGGAGCGCCCCGTCGGAGTTCTGGTGGCCCCTCCTGAAGTCCATGGTAGTCTCTTCGCAACATATTCGCCAGCGCGGGAACTCCCACACCCTAACTTCTCCAACAATTTCACCAGACGGAGGGTTCAGGAGGGTAAGACCTGCCAACCTTCTTTAAACCCCTCCACCCCCCACCCTTGCGCGAGGGTTCCGGGGAGGAGAGCCACCAAACCCTCGTTAACCCTCCCAAGAATTAACCTCATGAGGGAGGGTTCTGCGGGGGACCCCCCCCGCAAAAAAAAACGCTCCTGACGGACCCCCCTCAGGAGAAGTTTTTGTTGAAAGTTAGGGGGGTTTTCCCCTCAGACCCCTCCTTCAGGGGCGAGGGTTGTATTGTTTTTCCCCCCTGGACCCCCCCTCCGGGTTTTTGTTTGGTGAGGGTAGGGAGGGTGTATCCCCCTGGGCCCTCCCCCTCAGGGGAAGTTGTTTTGGAGGTTAGGAGCGTTTTTCTTCTGGAATCATTCTTCAGGCGTTGTTTTTAGAAGGTTCAGGGGGGTTCCCCTTTGGTCCCTCGCTTCCGGGGGGGTCTTTAGAGGGGTTAGTGGGGGCAGGTCCCCCCCAGGAAGCCCTCTTCAGGGGGGAAGGTCAGAGTGGGCTAGAAGAGGTTAAGGGGGTTTTCCCGTTCGGAACCTTTCTTGGGGGGGGGGGCAGGGGAGGTTAGGAAGGGTTTTCCTTCCCGAATTCCTGGGGGCTTTCTGGGGTTATTAGGGACCATGTGTATGGCGCCGCGTAGGTCGCACCACACATATTGCATCACGTAGATTGTGCGCCTTTGCTGCACCACAGAAATTGCACCACATAGATTGTACAACATAGAACTGCGAGCAACACACGGTCTGGGGTCCACGCTGGCTAACGGTGTTCTTACTCCTCAACTTTTCCCCTCGTCGGTTTTCAATCGTCGGTCGTCCGTCGTCCGTCGTCCATCGTCGTTGTCGTCGTCGTCGTTGTCGTCGTTCTTGTCGTCGTCGTCGTCGTCGTCGTCGTCGTCGTCGTCGTTCTTGTCGTCGTCGTTCTCGTCGTCGTCGTCGTCGTCGTCGTCGGTGTCGTCGTCGTCGTCGTCGTCGTCGTCGTCGTCGTCGTCGTCGTCGTCGTCGTAGCCGCCGCCGCCGCCTCCGCCGCCGCCGCCCGTCCCCATCCCCAGAGGACTGGAAGCGGCCACACATCCCGGGCGACCCGCTCCCGGAGACGCCCCCGTCGCCGGGCCCGCGCCCGGCGCTCGGCGCCGACTGGCGAGGCGTGGAGAGCGGGCCCGCCCCCGCCGAGGGCCTGGAGCGGCCGACGCACCTGCCGGCGGCGATGAGGCCGCCGCCCGCCGTTCCTGGGCCGTCACCGCAGCCACACCGTCCGTCCTCCGTCCTCCGTCGCCCGTTGCCGTCGTCGTCGTCGTCGTCGTCGTCGTCGTCGTCGTCGTCGTCGTCGTCGTCGTCATCGTCGTCCGTTTTCAGCCGTGGTCGTCGTCGTCGTCCTCGTCGTCGTCCTCGTCCTCGTCCTCGTCCTCTTTGTCGTCGTCGATCGTTTATCGCCTGGCGGGGTCGGCGAGGGCATCTGGACACTCGCAGAGGCGCGGCGCTCCACGCCTTGCAGCAGGCACTGCCCCCATGACGCCCCTGGTTGGCCCGCTCGCCCACCTCCTTCCGCCGCGGGCCCCCGGCCGCCCCCCCCCCCCATCCCATCCCCCCTCTGGTTTGCGCGATCCCCCCGGCCTGCCCGATGCTGCTACGTGGCTCTCGGCCTCATCGGTGGCCCCTCCCTCCTCGTCCCTGGACGAGGGCTGCCGCGGCCCCTGCCGCGCACCCTCGCCGCTCTTCGTCGACTCAGACGGCGCTCAGGGTCCCCCCGGATTCCTCAGGGTCACGTTGGGCTCTCCATGATTCGGAGGATTCCCGAGGATGTCTCAGGAACCCAGAGAGGATTGTGCAGAATTCATCCGGATTCCCCAGGCTCGCTGAGGATTCCCCTACCACCGCCACCACCACCACAACCACCATCACGCCGACGGTTCTGGCCGACCACGCTTCGGCGCGACGCGCTGAGTACGTCCTGGTCCCGACGCACCAGCGTTCCGAGCGTTGCCCGCGAGGCAGAGCGACTCGCTTTCCGCTTGCAGCGCATGGCGTGCTGCAGGGGCCGCCGCCGCCGCGAGACGCTGAGCAAAAGTCTCGGACCGTAGGATCTTAGGTTTTTTTGGGGGGGGTAAAAAAAAAAACGTACAGTCTTCATGGGTCACTCCCCCTCCTCCGCTCTCCTCCCCCTTTTCCTTTCTGCTCTGTGCCATTCCATACTTCCCGACTCCTCGGATGAAGTGGGGGGAGGGAGGAAGGGATGGAGGAAGGCAGGGAGGAAGCAGGGATGGAGGCGGGACTCAAGGAGGGAGGGCGGGAGGGAAGGGGAGGGAGGGGGAAGGGCGGAGGGAGGAGAAGGAGGAGGAGGAGGAGGAGGAGAAGCACGAGGAGCAGGAGAGGGGAGGAGGAGGAGTTGGAGGAGAGGGGGGCATCAGCAAGAGGTGCATGATGACGAGGTGCTGGAGGAGCAGCAGGATGATGATGGTGACGGGGATGAGGAGGAGGAGATGGAAGAGGTGGAGGAGGAGGAGGAGGAGGAGGAGGGGGGGAGGGGGAGGGGGAGGGAGGAGGGATGAGGGAGGAGGGATGATCATGATGATAACAATGCTGCTGCTGGTGATGATGCCGCTGACGACGATGATGCGGATGATAATGACGATGATGGTGAGACAGATGACAATGATGATGCTGATGCTTATGTTGATGATGCTGATGACGATACCGATGATGTTGATGATGATGCTGATGCTGATGATGATGGTGATGCTGATGCTGATGATGATAATAATTATGCTGATGATGATAGTGATGATGATGATGGTGGTGATGCTGATGATGTTGATGATGATGGTGGGATGATGGTGGTGATGGTGATGGTGATGGTGATGGTGATGGTGATGATGATGATGATGATGATGATGATGATGATGATGATGATGATGATGATGATGATGATGATGATGATGATGATGATGATAGTGATGATGATGGAGGTGATACTAATGATGGTGATGATGGTGGTCGTGATGCTTGTGATGATGACGACGACGACACTGTTGATGATGCTGATGATGCTGATGATGCTGATGATGATGCTGATGACGGTGATGATGACAACGATGATTATTATGATGATCATGATGATGATGTTGATGATGGTGATGATGATGGTGATGACGATGATGACGAGGAGGGGGAAGAGGAGGAGGAGGCCAATCACCAGGGTGAATGATGGGGTGGAGGATGAGGGAGGTTGGGTGGAGGGATGAGGGCGTCGAGGAGGAAGGGGCTGAGCAAGGAGGTGGAGGATGGGGAGCATGAGAAGTAGGACGGGAAGGAGGTAGGAGATACGACGAGGGGTGATGGCTAATACGACGATGCTGTTGACGAAAGGTAGGATGATAATAATGATGACGATGGTGATGAAATGGATGATAATCATGACGATGTAGATGTTGATGATGACGCTGCTGCTGGTGATTATGATGATGGCGATGACAGCAGTGCTCTATCCAAACGAGAACCCAGCACAGGAGAACGGGAAACAAGAGAGACCAAGCGACGGAAGTTGGAAGGGATGCGGAATAAGTACGTATGGATGAGTCGCACCGGGTAGTAATGATGACTCCTGCACAGCATGTGATACAGGAAGTGTAGTATCTATTCTTTATCTCAGATTGGAAGAGCCTCAGGCATGTGGGGCTCAAGTTCGAGTTCAGAGCAAAAGGTGCCACTTCACAAGTCATGGTAGCGATTGCGAGGTGAGCCCCACGTGCCTCCAGGCAGCGGCCGATGCGCAATGGCGGCGACGGTCGAGCAGATGAGAGAGCTGGCGGACAGGCTGCTGGCGCTTGAGAGAGACAATGCCCAGATGGTCGAGGAGCTCCGACGCGTGAGGCAAGAGGGTCCTCACCAGCAGATCGTGGAAGCGTTCAGAGAAGCGCTAGAGGAGACTCGAGGTCGGAGGTCAGGCGGCAATCTCATCGACACGAAGGGACTCAACAAGCCGTCGGTGTTCTCGGATGACGAGTCATCATTTATCACGTGGTCGAGGAAGCTGGAGAATTTTGTGGCCAATGTCTATCGTGAGGCAAGAGAGCTGCTAGCCATTGCCGCGGAGCAGGTGGAGTCGGTCACGTACCAAGTACTTCAAGGGGATGATCTTCAGAACCCGAGGATCGGCCAGGAGATGTTAGAGGAGATCGATGACCAGTTGTATGTAGTGCTCTCGTCGCTGACGGACGGCGAGGCGTTCAATATCACGGTATCAGCAGGGAGTGGCAACGGCTTTGAGGCGTGGAGGCGCTTGAACAGGCGCTTCGACCCCATCACGGCAGGCAGGTCGCGGAGCATCCTCCGCAGTATCATGGACCCAGGCAGGGCTAAGCTTCAGGACCTCCAGGCTGCCATCGAGAGGCTGGAGGAGTTGATGAGACGTTACGAGAGCCGGAGGGACACCGCAGGACAGCGCCGCACGCTCGCAGAGGACATCAAGATGGCGGCGCTGGAGGCCATGCTCCCAGACGAACTAGAACGGCATGTGCAGATGAACAAGAATCGCATCACGTCCTATGCCCTGATGCGTGAGGAGGTGACCACCTATGCAGAGAGCCGCGCCGGTGTCACGACTAAGGCAGCGGCCAAGCCCCCGTCCAAGCCTGTCGCCACGGACCCGAATGCCATGGACACCAGCGCCCTCTGGCGCGACACTGGCAAAGGCAAGAAGGTTGAATGGAAGGGCAAGGGCAAAGGCGACAGCAAGGGCAAGGGCAAGGACGGGAAAGGTAAAGGCAAAGAGTCCAGCTCCAAGGGTGGCAGGCAGTCCGGCAAGAAGGGATCCATGAACGACGCCTACGGCTCCGCCAAGCAGATGTGCTGGAACTGCGACAAGCCTGGCCACGTCGCAAAGGACTGCTGGGCGCCACCTCGTGGACAAGGCAAAGCAGGAGGAAAGCAAGGAGGCAAGACGAGTAAGGATTCGAAGAATAGCTCGAAGGGAGGTCAAGGGAGCCTAGATTACGAACCAGAGCAGGAGCGCGACGCCGGTGCTCTGGAAATGTGCTGCTTGGACTCGAGGCATGACGAGTGCCTTCAGCTGGCGAGCTTCGAGGACTCTGAGAAGAGCCGATGGGTTCGGATGAATTTCGACACGGGCTCCGCGAAGACGGCATTCCCTCTCGAGATGGATGGCGGCGAGGCCATGAAGACGGAGAGTGTCCTCAACTTTAGGACCGCCACCGGGGAGATTATCAACAGCACCGAGGGCTACAGCATTCGCGGCATCACGGAGCACCAGCAGCTGCTGAAGTTCAAGGGCGTAAAGGCGCCCGTCCACAAGGTGCTCCTCAGCGCGGGAGATGTCACAGGAGCAGGGAACGATGCATTCCTCATGGGCGACTTCGGTTACATCATCCATGGGAACTCCCCGGTGCACGCAGAGCTGAGGGCCGCGTTCAGAGAGATCGCGGCACGGCACAGTTATGAAGGCATCGTCACCATGTACAAGGAAAGGAACGTGTACAACCTCTACGTGAACGTGAATAAGGACGAGGAAGGCGGGCACGACCTGTGCCCCTACGACGAGGGCCAGCCGGGTTTCCGGCGGCCGGGCCAGCGCCTGTAAGTCCAGCAGGAGCGGGAGCGGGCGGCGAGCCTGCAGCCAGCGCTCCCGGAGGTGATGAAGAGATGCAGGCAGAGGATGAAGCTGTGGAGCAGGAGGTGCCGAAGCAACCTCACCGAGTGAAAGCTCCAACGAGAGAGGAGGTAGAAGATCACGAGTCCAGCGGCCACGCCGTGTACCGCACGTGGTGCCGGCACTGTGTCGCTGGAAAAGGCCAGCAGCACCCGCGCCTGAAGCAGACAGAGGAGAGCTTGGAGGTGGAAGCATGCTTCGACTACGGCTATATGGGCAGGCGTGCAGAGGAGCGCGCGCCGATTATCTGTGCGAGGGAGACGGGCCAAGGAAGCTACGCAGCCACGACGGTGCCCACGAAGGGAGCGGCACCGTACGCCATCGCCTACATGGTCGGCTGGTTGAAGGGCCTTGGCTACAAGAAGATCATATTCAGATCGGACAACGAGCACGCGCTGCTGAAGCTGCTGGACAAGGTCTCGGAGAATCTCATGGGCGTGGAGTGCGTGCCTCGCACGTCGCCTGAAGGGGACAGCCAGGCCAACGGGAGAGCAGAAGCAGCGGTCAGGGAGATCAAGAACCAGTGCCGGGTGCTGAGGAGCGAGCT